TTATTCCTGTGGAGTGGAGAAGTCCGCTTCTGTAAACATTTCCCAGCGTCCTCCCTTTCTCTAAGAGGCCACCTGTAAGGGGTCAGTGTAGAGAGAGCAGAGAGCGAGTGAGCATCTTCCGTCTCCCCGGTCCCCGCCGTGGGAGTCACCACCACCACTTCTCCCGCCAGGCAGAGCAGAAGGAAATGCAAACTGACCTTTCCTTAGTCCTTGACCAGACCTTAAACAGGAAGCGCCTGCAAAGGGGCTGGCCCAGCAGCGGCGCGCAGGTGACCGACCTGCTGTTGAGACCAGCGCGCGTGAGCGGGCTTTCAGGAGGGAGCCCCTGGCAGCCAGGGCCTTTCACTCCGCGGAGAGGCCTGGCCTGTCACCCTCTCCTGCTCTGCTGCTTTTCTGTCCGAAAGCTACATCCCGCCCGTGTCCGAATGCCTAGGGCCTGGGATGGGCTCGGTGCCTTTCCACCTCTCCCTCTCCACGTGTCTTCTCCATCCTCCACTGTTGGTCCTTTGTTTTCATTTCCATTTAATTTATTTTCTTTCTCCCTCTCTGTCCCTTCCCTCCTCTCTCTCTCTCTCTCTCTCCCCTCTCTCTCTCTCTCTCTCTCTCTCTCTCTCTCTCTCTCTCAAGCCAAGTAGCTTTAAGATGATGAAGCGGTAGTTTTTTGGATGAGGGAATAATACATTAAAAAATACCTATATCAGGAAGCCATTTTTTATTTCAGGAACTGTAAGAAACCATTATTTCAGGATATGAAAGTATAACCAAGCATCCTTTGGGGCAACTCTTTACCAAATGCAGAGATGGGAGCTTCTCTGCTGAAATTCTCTCTCCTCCTTGCTACTTACCTTTGCAACAGGGAGGAGAGGCGGGTAAAGCTGAGGTGTCAGTTTCCTACCTGCTTGGCCCTGAGCCCCTTGGGCTGCCCCGGGAGCCTCCCAGGCGACCCTCCTGTAGTGAGAAACGTAGCCAGCTCTTCCCAGCTCACACCCAGTCACCAGAAGCCAGGACTAAGCCATCCTAAAGCACAAAGATTGTGTCTCCGTCCACTGACGGCAGAAAAAAAGAGCATTTTGCTTCTTTCACGTTTCGAAAGCCAACGCTGCAGCAGATGACCGGGTGGGGGAGGCCCGGCCTGGGCGACCCAGCCGACCGGCCGTGGGCTGGTTTCCGCACTGCCAGGACTTGGTTCCAAGTTGCCCCAAATAGGAACCCGCCACTTGCCATTAGAGGGTCTGTCGTGGGAGAGGGGGAGGCTGAACGGGGAGCAGAGTGCGAGGAGGAAAGGAAGTCGGCCTTTCTCCCCGGCTCAGGGCGGCCAGGCGACATTGTGTGGGGCCCAGGCGACCTCGTGATTTTGGTGCTCTTTGTACCCCCGTCCCCCTCCCCTGCAAAGCCAAGTTCCATCGATTTCAGTTTGCATTTGTATTGGCGAGGCGAACTATACTATTTTTATTACCTTTTCTATCACTTATTGTATGAGCTTTTGTTGTTTACTTGGAGGTTCTGTCTTTTGCTACAAGTTTGAACTATTTATTGCTTGGTATTGGTGCCCTGTTTAAGAAACGGGCACTTTTTTTTTTAATTATGGAGAAAATGTTGAGATGACAGGAGGTCATTTCAATACGGCTTAGTAAACTATTTATTGTTCCTTTTATTCTCTGTACAAGATTTTGGGCCTCTTTTCCCCCCCCTCAGTGTCACGATGTTGAGTTCAGCATGTGTCTGCCATTTCATTTGTACGCTTGTTCAAAAAAAACCAAGTTTGTTCTGGTTTCAAGTTATAAAAATAAATTGGACATGTAACTTGATCTCCAAACCTTGTCCTTTGCTGTGTCTTTTAAAGGTGGGGGATGGACAGCTGATTCCCAAGGGCGAACGGAAGGTCTTTCTCCACTTTCCTCCTGACCCAAGCCCTCACTCCTGTATCCAGGAAGACAGGGAATGATGGCTCCAGAGATGATGGTCCCCTTCCTTTACCTGGGAACCG